AAACAAGGAGTGAGAGAGAAGCCCAAGAAATGGGATCTAGAAGAGTCAACGGCAGAATCCTGCCTACATGAACCCGAATTCTGAAGTCTTTACTCATGCAAAACTCAACTGAAAGTGATGGGAAACTACAAGAATTTCAGGGTCTAGCTCCGTAAAGACCAACATCACCCGAACACAGGGACTCCATCTTAAAGTGTTCCTGTGCAGTGGCTGAATCAAGAAATTGGTGATTCAGGTAGACTCTGCTCTACCTGTGCTTCAGGTTCAACATTTTCTACATCTCCTAATGTAGGATTCCAGTTTGGGCTATCAAAGGGCTAAACTGAAGATGTGCCAAGTACCAACAGCTCTCTGTGTCTTGACTGCTTCTCAGGGGCTCTGGGGCTCTGTGGTTGAAACACATCTCACCTCACTTTAGATACCTGATGTATGAGAAGAGCCTTTACAGACTATCTCCGATAATCAACAGAAAGAGATGAGCTTTTCCAAAGGGCGAATCAAATCTTAGGCTGGATGAATTACTCCCTGGAGGTGTCCCCTTCTTCAGTATAAAAGCTGAGGGAGCTCCTCAGTTGCTCCTAAGTACCCATAGCAGTTAGTCTCCAGAAGGGACTAGTTACTAGTTAGTCCCTAGAAGTGGCCTGAGCCTCTTCCCTTACCCCAAGCAGCAATAATGTTTACAGCCAGGATGAAATCGTGTTTCCGGCCACATTCATCCCAATACGAAGTACTTGACGGCAATGCAGAAATGTTATAAATTGGGGGAATAAATGCAAAGGCAGTAAAGTCCTCACCTCTTCAGGTCTGCTCAACACATGCCCTTCAGGGCCTGTGATCCCCAGTTCCAGGATCCTTTGCTGCTCCTAAGGCAGAGAGAAAAAAGAGCAGGAAAAGATTTAAAGCAACACACATTTTTCCTTGCAGCAAACACAGCTGTTTGAAAGAGGTACAAGTAAGATTCTAGCATCTGTGCTAACTAATAATCACATGGGGCTTTACATAAGGGCCTTACAACCAGAGTCCTGTCCAACTTCCCTTGTTGAGAATAACCAGAGCTCGCAAAACCCTTGCTGATTTGTTCACAGGAGGTCAGGGAAACATTTTATTTTGATTTGCTTCACACTGGGTTCATAGCCCCTCAACTTTCACTACTCATTTGCGTCTATAAAATAAACTCTAAGATGTGGCAAAACAGCATCTCATGAAAAAATCATCCTGCAGCTGCAGCTGACTGGGCTCAAAGGCTCAGGTGGGCTCTTCCCCAGTCAGACAATGCAGAAATCCACTGCAACATCAAGTTTTGCATGCTTAAGATATAATGTGTAAAATGAGCTGGAGATCAGATTAAATCCAAATAATTATTAACATTTCTTCTTTGTTCTGTCTAAAGGATGAACAGATCCCAAACATCAGCATCCCAGATACTGTATGAAGCTACTTCCCTTCCCACTCCCCCTGGTCTTAGTTACCGCAGAACATTTTATTGTACGCAGTGACAGTCACACCCAGACGCAGTCTTTCGCTCAAGGGGAGAAAGGCAGAGATGGCCGATAGCTGCCACAGACTGAAAGCTGCCATGAAAACCTGCTTTATCAGTGACAACGAAGGGGATGAGATTTGATGCACAGCTCTGCTTGCATCCTTGATATAGCTGTGCCATGCTTTTAAAAGTCTTGGTGATTTTCTGTTTGCAAAGAAGGATTTAGAATTTAAATCCCTCCCAGCATTTTGAAGTTAATAATCCACAGAATAAACATAACATACCTCAGCAATGATGTCACCATTCTCAGCATGCACTTGAGCTGTCGCACCAATATCCCGGATTACACTCAGGACCTCATATATCTGGAAGACAGAAAACATTCAGTACAATATACTCCGAGCGTACACTCAGGCACACACCTATTATACAGTATACGCTCCAGACTCCTTCAGCATACAGAATTTTGCAGAATGGAAAAGAAAAAGAGAAGCATTAAGAAATAGAAGATGTGGTTTGCTGGATGGATATGGTCCATATTCCTGCCTACAACTAAATTTCCCAATCTCTATACACTAATGATATGGCAAAGAAGCACTATTCAAAAGCCAGGTTTTGGGTGTATTTACCACGCTGGAGAAAGAAACAGCAACTGCACAGGCCTACATCTGGAGTGATTTTAAGGAGCTCACAGAGCTGTACCTGTTTCATGCGTTCATTTACTGGTGCCTGGGATGAAAAAAACCCTTACATTTGATTTTCACGAGGAACCTGCACCCACCCCTCTCACTGGCTGGGACGGGAGCAGTGTGATTTCCCACTCCAGCAACCAGCTTGAGAGGGCTCAGGTTGAGTAACCCACAACTGACGCCGGCTCCGTCAATGGTCACTCATTAAAATGCTTACCAGAGTCATTAGAGATAACTGTCATACACCACTGCCTCCTACACTGTTCCAAATGACTCTCAGGCATTCCTCTCCTCCCACCACATTTAGAAATATAAACTGCCCATCTCAACAATTAAATGTACCCAAACGTATCCACTAGAATAGCAAACAGGAGGGCAATTCCTTTTTAAGGTCCCAGCAATTCTAACGCTAAAGCCAGAAACCCACTTCTGGACCAAGATCAGTTTCAGCTTATAAACACATAGAATAGTTATGCCAGACATCAAACTGTCCTGCTCTGCGCCTAGGCATAAAGCAGCAATTTATAAAACTGCCACTGCTTCCACACCAAAGGAGCTGGAATAAAACCTTAGATCTCTCAAAATGAGGGTTTTGTCATTGCTTTCCCCAGCCAAGTCTTTCAGGGTTTGTTGTTGGTTGTTTTTTTTTTTTTATTAAAAAAAAAAAAAAATCTTCAAACCAGAGCTCTGGATACTGTTGCAAATCTTAGGTACTGTTATGCACACAAAGACTGAAACCAAAAGAGAATGTCAGATCCAAGTGTACTGAAATTAAACGCTTATAAGATGCACAGCTTGCAGTGACAGAAGCATGTGAACGTTAAGCCTTCCTACCTGAGAATCAGTTAGCTGAAAGCGATCTTTGAAAGCCATGTAAACCAAGAAGGAGTTCACACCTGGTAGAAAGAGAGCAAAGGAATTATCTTTGACATACAAATTGTAGGCACAGATAAAGCTACAAAACACACCGTTCCTCATCGAGAGAAGATGTCCCCCTCAATCAGCCCCCCCGCAAGCAGCAATGATGGGTAGACAAATAAATTACTTTAATCTGCTGTGAAATGTGTACGCACATGTGCGTGCACGCAGGCACAAGCACTCTCAACAGATCACAGCGTAAAGCAGGATCTCCTCGGCCATGTGGCATCTATTAACACAACTGATGAGAACGGAGGAGCCTGCACTCCAGCCGTGGGGACAGCTAAACCCCTAGGCTTCCACTTAACATTGAAATAAGAATAATTCTGTGGATTCAGCACTGTAGGAGGTTGAGTAAAAAAATAAGCAAAATGCATCACACACAAAAGCAGAGACTGGGCCTGGCTGCCTGATCCCCCACTCCCTCCTGCGAGAGCGATGGGAAATCTGTGTCTGTAAGCACGCCCTCCTCCACGTGTTCGTACTGACCAAGACTCAGGGAGTGCTCCTAAGTCGGCTTTCCCTCTCCTGCCTTCTGAACCAGTAAAAGCTCTTACCCAGCACGTGTGGGAGAGCGCTCATTAGGATGTAAAAGACTGTTTTTTTAAACTACAAACAGGATGGAAAATTACTCTAGCCTAAGGAAATTAAAGAGGGGAAAAACCTATGAGGTCATTTTATTCAGCTCTTCTCCACTTTTAGCAAGCAGTGCTGGATTGTTCCTTCTGGGCCTGATTCTTCCCTTGTTTACAGCAGTTTAATGGCTGAACCTACCACCTACCTGCACTAACGAAAACCAAAGGACCTCCACTGAACAAAGGTGCTCCTCTGCATGGCAGCAGCAAGAGATTCACCTCTTCAAAATCAACGCTCACCCACCTAAGATTGCAGTGCGTATTTGCAGTGCGTACATCCCCCTGCGCCCTCTACAACAGCGACTGCCCGAACCTCCACAAGAAGCTAGAACGGGCCAAGTTAATGTCAGGGCCCAGAACAGCTTTATTGAGATCGAAGAGTGAAGTATTTCGTGAGAGCCAGTCCTAAAACACAGGGGAGCCAGTCCAAAGAAATAAAGAGGGGAAAGGCTTCTCTGAGCTTTCAGTAACTGAACTTACCATGGTCTTTAACCAGAGCTTCCATCTCCTCCTGGACACCTTTATGCCACTCGGTGATATCCACGTGCAGAGAGTAGTCGCAGCAGGATTTGCTGTCTGCCCATTCTCGCCACTGGTCGAATGCAGTCAGCAAACTGGTCCCTGGCTCAGGAACCACGTGATCGACTGGGAAAGACAACCAAAGCATTGGTAAACGGATGGTGCAGTAGCTTTTCTGGATGTCCAAGACAGAAAGCATGCTTTGCAGAGGCTGCTGGAAAAACAAGACATCCCCCTTCCCTTAAAATATTTCTGTTTGAAAGACCTGGTTTCTAAAGCCCCACATCTGAGAATGCAGCCAGGAAGCTGATTACGGAGCCAAAGCAGAAGGAAATACTTCAATTACTACAGCCTGTTTACTGCAATTGTTTGTGAATGGAGCAAATGAAATTCTTAGGGCAGCAAACACAAACCACTGCAGAGAGCTCTATAAACACCACTCCCCTGGCTGGTGACAAATAAACAATGACACAGGCAAGATCCCCCGTGAGCATCAGTCAGCAGCTTTCAGTACTCAGCACCTCACGTTCAAGCAGTGACTTCGTCTGTGCCTCTGGACATGCTAGAAAAGGTGTCCAAAGAGTGCAAAGATGTATTACTGCTGGCACGTACGCAGTGACAACCAAGGACTCCACGCACGGATCAGAGCTGCTACACATCCCAAATCAGAGCACCTTCCAGAGACGGCGTGCAAGCGAGGACTGGAAGAAGCAGGACCAACAGTCTGTCACGGCTGGAGAGACACCTCCTGACAACAAGATGGCCCTGCTTGCCTCCAGCATCTGCTCAGTCTGATCCTCGTTCCAGCCTAACCCATTAGGTCCAGCAGCAACTGGGTTCACAGGCAGCTGCAGGATACTTCACCAGTGCTACCGATGCAGAACAGCCTCAAAGGGTAACAAAAGAGATTTGAAGGTTTAGTGTTCCTCCCAGTAATCTGAATAGCATCCAAATTTTTATTTGAACGCACGGGATCTCTAAGATCTTCACTAGCCACAGTGAAATAAAAGAAGCAAGCCAGTATCTCAGAAACTGAACTGCTGCTGAGAGGGCAGGGAAAGCCTGCGGGACTTCAGGGGTCACAAACTGGGCAGGCTTTGTTGAGGAGGAAGAGAGAGCCCCGGCTTGATTTTACATCAAATCACACACAAAAAAAAAAAGTTGCTTCAATTATCAGCAGAGAAATTCAAGCAGTTTATTTTTAACTTTACTGGTGAGTATCCGGGCTGCTATCAGCTCAGCAGTTAGCTCTAAATCACAACTGGGATAAGACACAAAGTCCTTGGGCCCTACACGCTCTCAGCGAAGTACGAAGCTTCGCTTCACCCCCATGCAGACATGTCAGCCTATATTTACTGGGTTTGTGCTGCCTTAAGAACTGGATTTACATCGGGAGCTCTCGACCCGCTGCAAAAGCAGTCCTGCTCTCCCGAACGACCCACGAGCTTCAGCCACCCGAGTCGGTAATGACGTCTCCAATGTCTGAGATGTGCAAACGCTGTAGAAAGCCGAGAGGATTACCCAAAACAACCATCCTTCCTGCAAAGCTCTGCCCACCCTCTCTCCCTTTTGCAAAGGTGGCTACGTGACAGATAGCAAAACGGCAGTTAAAATATTTGTGCTTTTCCAAAAGGCTTGTGTTTGCCCCTCGAAGTGTCACGCTAGCCTGCAAAGGGAAGGATGTGAGGTACAAAGCTGCAAAGCTGCAGCTTTGACCAGCAGTGGCTTAGGGGTTCAGGAGTGGCTGGTGGCCTTCGTCTGCTCAGAGAGCAGTGTCGTGCCCATTAGACAAATCTATGCTATGAGGGAAAGCTCTGAAATGTGCCTGGTGGCTGGCATCAGATCAAGGATGTGCTTTTCGCCATCCTTGGGAAAAAGCAACCCAAATTTAACCAGCCGATAAACTGTCCTGTTTTTAAGAAAAATAATCCAATTTCTGTTCCATGAGCTCCTCCTCCCCAATGGTCAGAAACCTTCCACTAACTTCCAGAGCGAATTGTTTCTTGGCCAGTACGTAGCCCCTTGTCACTCTGCCAAAGTTAATCTTTAGCTTAAGTAGTATGAACAACAAGGAGAAAAATAACATTCTCTCTGCCTTACCAATGGGATACAGAGAAAACCCAAGTTTTCACGAACGGCCAGTGCCTTAACACAAGAGCTGTCTTCCCCAGCTCACTGACTAATTAAAAAGCCAAAAAAGCCCATTTAATCTCTAACACACCACAGTAATAAATCCATCTCTACTTAGACGAAAGGTGCCCTAAGAGCTCTATCAACCCTGAGATGATACATGGCTTATGGGCATTAGGAAATTAGGAGGCACCAAGGGGTTAACACAGTGGAGTCTTCACAGCCCAGCACGGAGCCCCTAGGAATGACTCTGGTGTCTAGGATCAGAGCTTTATCACCATCTTATTTCATGCGCTGCCCAAGTATGACTAATGGGAGTTTGTGGAGGGAGTGGGAGAGGGGGTAAGGGAGCTCTATCAGATCTTTGACAAAGTCAAACCACAGCTGGTTGCAATAAGGATAAGGGATGGAGGTAGTGGTGCATATGTGCATGAAAGTCAGCTCTGGGGATTAGGGATATCTCATATGGAAGCTGTGCTGCTGACACATCTCATAGCAGCTCCCTTGAGCTCACCGATAGCCAAATCACCCATCATCCCCATCAAAACAGAACACAGTTTGTTTCCATAGCAGCTCTCTGCCAGGCAATTACTGATCAACCTCTTCGTTATATTCACGTGGAAGAAGTTAACACGAAGGCCTGAATGTGCAAGGTAAGCCAACAGCCTTCAAAAGCCTGTGATTTAACTAGTCCAAAGAGACTCGGTGAAGGAGCAACATGGTAGAGCATACCATGGGATGCCTGACACACGGCATCCTAGAGCAGGAAGGAAGCTGTGCTGCCACAGGTGAGGCAGCAGAAGCAGTAGATCCTGCACAGAAGACATGAGGAAGGTGGATGTGCTAATCTAGAGGTAATTCAGACACAAATGCAAACGTCTCCTCAATTTTCCATCCCTTGTTACAGTGGAAGGGGCCAACAACTTTGCAAGATCATGGCCTACATCCCTTCACGCTAGGGTTGGGGTTTTTGGGAGCCCAAATAAGTAAGAATGAGCCGAGATCCTTTAAAGGAGAAGAGTCAAGATTGATTCTTCACCTGCTGTTAAAAATACTGAGCACTGCAACTACTTCTGCCTATTGGTATGGATAGGAATCGCCCACATGCAGCTCAGAGGAAGTTCTCCTTTGAGTCCTCAGGCACAGCTCAAGAGCTCAGAGTAAAACAAAAAGCTTTTTTTCTTTAAGGCCCCTGTGCTTCAGAGCAGTACAAAGCAGCTGATGAAAGCTCCATCCGCCGCATTCCCACAGCCCGAGGTTCCCAAGATGACCCTTGGGTATGATCCGGCACAGGCCCACGGACGCAAGGTCTTCTGACCTACCGGAGCACGCAGCAAACCCAGCCGTGGAGATTACCCTGGAGGCTTCCCATGCGAAAAGCAGCATGCTGTCCTGACCTCCCTCAACCACTTCTCTCTAGGGAACCCGACAGCTTACTGCCCCATCTTTCGTTCCTTCATTTCGGAACCCAGGAATGTTCAATTCCTGCAGCCGCTGGAGTGGCCTCACGTCTGCAGAACGCACTCAAGACAAACTGTTGCAACACAGACTGTTGTCACCCCTTTATATTCTAGACCACTACAGCTTGATCTCTTCGTGCTTCCAAGCCCAGATGTTTTCTTCCTGTTGTTGATCATTGCTGTACAAATGATGTCAGCTGCTGAGGTCTGAAAAGGAAGTTGCCAGCTCAATTTAAGCTCAAAGCTTGCTCCAAAACCAGAAACAAAACGGAGAAAAAAAAGAGAAAAGGAAAAGATCACTTAAGTATCACTTCATCAGTACTGAAACCTTCAAAGGAGGAATTAAATAGCTTGTGGTCCCTGTAGTGGCTCCCTGAATCAGAGTGAATTTCAGGCCTAATCCTAATGTTTCTTTTCATTTAACATACACTCTCAGCAAGTTACACGGCAAAGCCAAGGTTAGGATTACAGTGGTTTCTCAGCTATGAACAGAAAACATTCTGTAGATTTATCTTTTAACCTTCTGAGATGTGGAATCCAAAATGCAACAGCTATGGCTTAGAAGCAAGCAAGCCCAATTACATCAGCAAAGTAACTGCTTTTAAAAAAAAAAAATTTAAAAAAAGGATTTTGTATTTTACAAATCATCTAATTTTTCCCTTGGTAAAATACTGACAAGATTCCAAAATTACTGGATAGTCTGTTTATCTTCTTCCCAGACAAACCAAGCGTTCACCTCCCTTTGGAAGGCAGTGGGATTTGAGCACCTGCGTACCCACATGCCATGATTGTTCCAGCCACAATCACGAAGACTCTTAATTACCTCTCCGATGTGCCTGGTTTTGCTCTCCCGTCATTACATACAGTTTCACATTGCTTACAAGGTGCATCTGCTCTTCCTTCCAAGTATTTCAGCTCCCACCCACCATGGCTGTTTTTCTGCCTGTCTCGCTCGTGATCCTTCGCTCCTCCTTGGACAGATTAATCGGCTCAAGATTAAAGGCAGACAATAAGCTGAAGTGAGACAACAACACTAACCACTGTTAGCTTATCTGTTTGGCTTTAATATACCAGAGCTGGCATTCAGCCACACTGAAATGTTATGTGTCCAATGAGCCGAAATGGTTGAGTGCTGTGGGGGAGAGATGACAACCCCCAGTGGATCAGGCACTCGGTGTTAAATGAAAGGGGAAGGCAAAAACTTAGAGAAACGGATTTAAAGGGAACTTTCCAAGTACGGGGAGAAAAAAGTAATACTGTTTTAACATAAGCATGAAAAATCTAAGTAGGGTAGGAGAAGTGACAGCACCAGTTTACAGAGCACTAGCATTTACTGATCACATCACTGGTCAGCGCGTGTATTAAGGACTGGCTTTAAACATATCTTTGTTCTTCATTCAGCTGCCATATCTTCTCCCTTACTTTAAAACCATACTGACCCGCTAGCTGCACAGCACACTTAAAATGGTGCCGATCTCAGCTTTAAACAGGGGCTTTATAAAGCATTGCATCACATCTTGGCTTCCTTTTACAAAC